GCGCATTGTGTAGATTAGAACATAGAACATAGAACATTACAGCGCAGTACAGGCCCTTCGGCCCTTAATGTTGCGCCGACCTGTGAAACCAATCTGAAGCCCATCTAACCTAAACTATTCCATTATCATCCATATGTTTATCCAATGACCATTTAAATGCCCTTAAAGTGGGCGAGTCTACTATTTTTGCAGGCAGGGCATTCCACGCCCTTACTACTCTCTGAGTAAAGAACCTACCTCTGACATCTGTCCTATATCTATCACCCCTCAATTTAAAGCTATGTCCCCTCGTGCTAGCCATCACCATCCGAGGAAAAAGGCTCCCACTGTCCACCCTATCTAATCCTCTGATCATCTTGTATGTCTCTATCAAGTCACCTCTTAACCTTCTTCTCTCTTACGAAAAGAGCCTCAAAACCCTCAGCCTTTCCTCATAAGACCTTCCCTCCATACCAGGCAACATCCTGGTAAATCTCCTCTGCACCCTTTCCAATGCTTTCACATCCTTCCTATAATGCGGTGACCAGAACTGTACGCAATACTCCAAGTGCGGCCGCACCAGAGTTTTGTACAGCTGCAACATGACCTCATGGCTCCGAAACTCAATCCCTCTACCAATAAAACTTAACATACTGTACGCCTTCTTAACAACGCTATCAACCTGGGTGGCAACTTTCAGTGATCTATGCACATGGACACTGAGATCTTTCTGCTCATCCACACTACCAAGAATCTTACCATTAGCCCAGTACTCTGTATTCCTGTTACTCCTTCCAAAGTGAATCACCTCACACTTTTCTGCATTAAACTCCATTTGCCACCTCTCAGCCCAGCTCTGCAGCTTATCTATGTCCCTCTGTAACCTGCAACATCCTTCCGCACTATCCACAACTCCACTGACTTTGGTGTCATCCGCAAATTTACTAACCCATCCTTCTACGCCCTCATCCAGGTCATTTATAAAAATGACAAACAGCAGTGGCCCCAAAACAGATCCTTGAGGTACACCACTAGTAACTGAACTCCAGGATGAACATTTCCCATCAACCACCACCCTCTGTCTTCTTACAGCTAGCCAATTTCTGATTAGTGTGCCAGAAATGAATGGTTAACTCTTAATTGTATTGATCACTGGGAGATCTAAGATACTCAACATGTCCTCCTGCCTTCTCCAAAAAACACTAATACAACAGTGTCATGCTGAAATATACCAAAATAAAACTGAATTTCCTTTATGATGGTCATATCTCGAGTTTGTTGTCATACCCAGTATTTGCATATTATATGGACCACTCCCAGAGTGATTGTTGACAGCAGCAAACGGACTACCAATTAAAGAAACATCTGGCAACAGTAATTAAGACGTGAGATCAATTGTTATTTAACCATTTCCCACAAGTTATTAGTGAGTAATAACAGCATGTACTGGGCTAGGAGATCAATATTGCAAAATGTATTACATACTTCACGATTCTGACATTCCTGATAAGCACGATTTTAAGTGAAACATTGGTTCCTATGGAAACCAATGTCAAAACTGTAATTAGACTCTGTTGACCTTATTGAAAAAGAAACAAGTATTAAAACATAATCTCAAATTGAAATATATTATATTACTGTGTACCAAAGTAGGAATTTAACAATGAAATACTGTTTAAACTAACAAAAGTTTAAAAGCATGAAAGAACAATGTAACTATTATTTCCAGTACTTCCTTCCCACTAGTGATTGTGTTTCCTGAAACTCCTGTTCCATGATTCTCTTGGTCTCTGCTCTTTGACATGTGGGTTGTGCCCTCTCCCCAATTCCAGACTCCCCAACACCACTCCAGGCTACTGCTACTTCCATTCCTTGGACTTCCCAATCAAGATTCAGGTTCATTCAGAAGCTGGTACTCAGTTTGGAAGTGAGAGTCCTGGTTAATCAGTGGTTCTTTTTAAAAGCTGCCAGTCACCCCATCCCTCTCCTGAACCTTCACTGTGAGTGAGAGCTTTTATTCATTCATGGGGTGACGGTATCACTGTTTATTACACTTCCCTAATCCCAGAGGGCAGTTAAGATTGCAGTGGATCTGGAGTCACATGTAGGCCAGATCAGGTAAGGATGGCAGTTTCCTTCCCTAAAGGACATTAGTGAACCAGATGGTTTTTCTTCAGACAATCGACAGTGGATTCATAGTCATTATTATTTTTATTGAATTCAAATTTCGCCATCTGCATTGGCAGGATTTGACCTCTGATCCCCAGAACATTACGTGGGTCTCTGGATTAATGGCGCAGCATAATTCCACTAGGCCATCACTTCCCCACGAGGGAGGATAGAAGAGCAGCGAGGCAGGAGCAATTTTCAAAGACACTTTAAAACTAAAGGATTGAAAAAGCCCCCAAAACACTGAACCTTCAGAGTGACTGTTTCCATGACATTGTGGCTCCAGCTTTAGATCAAATCTGAATCTTGATAAGGGAGGCAGATCCAGGAGAGGGAAGCAGCATGTGAGTGAGTCAGGGACAGAGGAGAGGCCGCAACTCTGAGGTTGGGGAAGAGGGGAGGCCACAATTCCGAAGTCGGGGATGGAGGAGATGTTGCATCTTGAAGGTCAGGATCTGAGGATCCACCAGTTGAGTAAGACAGGAAACAATATTAAAACGAATCTTGAGGTGCTCAACAAGATTTCAAGCCCCATTAACTTACTGACATTAAAGAAAAACAATACTGAGCAGAGCAACTTTAAGGGAGGACTTTCTGTACATGTGAACAATGCCAGGAAAGAATAGCTAATGTTGTATGAAGTGCTGCTGTGCAGCCCTTTATGCCTTCTTGAACCATTGCAGACCATTTGGTGTAGGTAAACCCACAGTGCCTTTAGGGAGAGAATTCCAGGATTTTGACTCACAGACAGTGAAGGAACGGCGATATATTTTCAAGTCAAGAAGGTGAGTAGTTTGGAGGGGAACTTACAGGTGATGGTGTTCCCATTTGGCTGCTGCCCTTGTCCTTCTAGATGGAAATGGTTGTGCATTTGCAAGGTGCTATCGAAGGATCTTTGGTGAATTTCCACAGTGCATTTTGTAGATGGTACACACTGCTGCTACTAAGTACTGGTAGTGGAGGGAGTGGATGTTTCTGGATTTGGTGCCAATCAAGTGGGCTGGTTTATCCTGGATGGTGTCAAGTTCCTTGAGTGTTGTTGGTGCTACATTCGTCCAGGCAAGTGGGGAGTATTCCATCACACTCCAGACTTATGCATTATAGATAGTAGACAGTCTTTGGAAAGTCAGGAGATGTGTTACACCTTGCAGGATTCCTAGTTTCTGACCTGCTGTTGTAGTCATAGTATTTATAGACTGGTTTATTCCAGTTTTTGGTCAATGGTGACCTCGGGATGTTGATAGGAGGAGGAACCAGAAATGGTAATGCCATTGAATGTCAAGGGGCTATGATTTGATTCTCTCTTTTTGCAGATTGTCATTGCCTAGCACTTGGTACTTTCCTTATGGACTGCATTAGTACCTGACGAGTTACAAATGAATATTTTACATTCCTTAGCAAACATCTCCAATTCTGACGTTATGATGCAGGGCATGTCATTGATGAAGCTTGTGACATGCTGAAATCCAGTTCAAAACTAAGCACTCTTTTGCAAATTGTAGCGAATTTTTTTGAAATTATCACATCAGTGACATCATGTGTTGCAAATAACATATGACTGACAAAGAGATAGACCCTTCCATTGAACACAAACAAATCCATTCCTCAATATTTCCAAAGTTTGCTTAAGAAACTGACATATCCCATGAGAGAATTAAAAAAATACTATTGCTCGATTTAACCAGAAATTCATTGTGTCAAGTTTTCTTTCAAATCATTTCTGGCTGTTTAGTATCAGGATGTTCCTGCAGATTGTTTGAAAATGTAGTAAACCCATGTTAATTGCAATCAAGTTAGCATAAATGTATCTTAAATGTAACAAGGAATATTGTGTTTTTTAAAGTCTTCTGATGTGTAGAAACCATTCATTATCTTCCAGCTGTTTCTCTATATAAATAAATTATATTGTATGTAAATGGTGATATACGAAAATGAATATCTTTCATTTCCTTATATTTTTTTGTTTGAACCAGAAACACACTGCAAATTTGAAGACTGTTAAAGCAGTAAAGTTAGATGCTGAGGTAAGACTTTTAGTTCTGATTTGTAAAGATTGATTATTTTGCAGGAAGGAATTGGATAATTGGATGACTCTGTCAAAGAAATAACATTGATACGATGGGCTCAATGGTCATCCATATTGAACGATTCTTTAAACAATAATGGGGAAATAGGCTAGCTTTGCCTGTCAAAAGTAGAGATACATATTTCCGTACTAAAACAGCTTTATTTGTCCTGCATATGCTGAGCATCATCTAGAAGGAAAATGTTTATTTTATTGCAGGAACAGGCTAAGATAGCAAAATTAGGCTTGGAGCTGCGTTTACACACATCGGATATAGATGCGGAAACAGAAAGATGGGAAGACCAAGATAATGAAATTCTTCGTCAAGCGCAGACTATGTCCAGCATGGCATATTCTATGTATTTATTCACAAGGTAAGATTGACTCTAAAATCAGCCTTTTAGAAATAGTTTGCTTTTCTTTAAAAAAAAAAGTACTTTTAATTTCTTTTAAATATATGAAAAATAAATTAGTTGAAAATGATTAACCAGGCATTTTCTATTTGACTTTTAGTGGATATAAGAGCCTACAGGGCCAAATTGTCTTATTGGTCATCTTTAGAGAGTGTCTCAATGTCAGTCAGGCATTTTCTGCCTTGAAGTTTGGCTAATAAGGAGGAATACATGGTACATCACAGGCCCACCATGACTAACTTTCAGTCCTTTTATAAAAATAATTGGGAATTGAGGATTGTGGGCTTGTGGTAACCTGTTTGTTGTTTTCTTTGTGTACCACTTGTCTGTGAGAATTACCCAATAATGAAACCAGCTGAATCATGATCACAATCTGGGACATTCCTTTGTTGTACTTTATTATGATTATTCATTCAGAGAATGTGGGTTTTGCTGGCCGATCCAGCACTTATTGCCAGTCCTTAATTTCCCTTGTGAAGGTGAGCTGCCTTCTTGAACCACTGCAGTCCATTTTGTGTAGGTATACTCACAATGCTGTTTAGGGAGCATGTTCCAGGTCTTTAACTTGTATATTCCCAATCCTCCTCCTTTACTTAGCAATCAGCAAGGGCGATCTGTCTGTTACGTTACACTTCTCTGTCACAATACTTACAGGGTTTTTTTTCTGAACAAATTTCTTACAGCTGTTTTGCTTTTATTGAAGATTTCCTCCAACAATCCTGTTAAATAAGGAAAGATGTTTTTAAAAAGACATTGGGAATATACAAAAGAAACTTCCCACAACAGCATACACAAAATACTAGTTATTCAGAGCTTGTGACTCTCATGTTTGTAGCCTTTTTGTAATTTGACTTACACAGATGTGGCCGGTGATCATATATAGCACACTGTGTTACATTATATAATATCTCTGTCCTTATAAATCAACACATCACTAAATTATGGTGAGCAATGAAACAGAAATTCATAGAATCCTTACAGTGTGGAAGCAGGCTATTCAACCCATCAAACCCAGACCGACTCAACCCCCCACCCTATCCCTGTATCCCCACATTTCCCATTGGCTAATCCACCTAGCCTGCCCATCTCTGGACACTATGGGCAATTTAGCATGGCCAATCCACCTAACCCGCACATCTTTAGACTTTAGGAGGAAACCCACACGGACAGAACATGCAAACTCCACACACACAGTTTCCTAAGGGTGGATTCGAACCTGGGTCACTGGCACTGTGAGGCAGCAATGCTGACCACTGAGCTAACGTGCCGCCCAGTATCTGTTAGTATAATGATTTGAAACGGCTCCATCAATTGCTTGGTAAAATATTTTCACTCTGACTTTCTTTTCCCCCTTTCAGTGTGGCAATAGTTGACTCTCTTCAGTATTTTCCTCAAAACGGCTAGAATTAGAAACTAGCCATAACAATTTCTTCCCACTCTGTCACATTAACACATTCATGTCGCATCACATTGCTTCACCATGTAATCACTTGGATGTCCAAAGACACTTGGGGATGCAGGTGCATAGATCTTTAAAATGTCACAAACAGGTGCAGAAAATAATCAAGCCCGCTAATGGAATGCTGTCCTTTATATCTAGAGGATTGGAGTACAAGGATGCTGAAATTATGCTGCAGTTATACAAAATCCTGGTTAGATGCCACTTAAAGTACTGTGAGCATACTTTAGGAAGGATATATTGGCCTTGGAGGAAATACAACATAGAATTGTTACCTGGATTTCAGGGATTGTGAGGCGAGATTAGGCAAAGTGGGTCTCTTTTATTTGGAATTTAGAAGGTTAAGGGGTGACCTAATCGAAGTCTTCAGGATATTATCAGGAAATGATGGGGGAAATAAAGATAAATTAATTCCACTAGTTGGAGATTCTAGAACTGGGGGGTATGGTCTGAGAATTCAGGCCAGACCTTCACCCCCAACACCTCCCCACAGCCCTACGGCACCTTCCCCTGTAACCGGCGAAGGTACAACTCCTGCCCATTTACCTCCTCCCTCCCCAGTATCCAAGGGCCCAAACATACCTTCCAGGTGAAGCAACACTTCACCTGCACTTCCCAGAATCTAGTCTACTGCATTCGCTGCTCACAATGTGGTCTCCTCTACACTGGGGAAACGAAGCATAGACTTGGCGACCGCTTCGCAGAACATCTACGTTCTGCTCGCAAAAAAGACCCAGAACTACCTGTTGCCTGCCACTTCAATGCACCAGCCTGCTCCCTGGCCAACATCTCTGTCTGTGGCTTGCTACAGTGTTCTAGCAAAGCCCAACACAAGCTGGAAGAGCAACACCTCATTGTCTGCTTGGGGACCCTACAGCCCTCCGGACTCAATATTGAGTTCAATAATTTTAGGGCCTAAGCTCTCCCATGTCCCAGCCCCCCACCCCACACACCAGGCCTTGTAACCACATAGCCTGTCATTACACCCCCTGTTGTTAATCACTAATCGTCCCCATTAACAACTATTCACCCTCCCAGCCTGATCGTTAGCAACTCCTTTGTCTGTCCAACTGTCTTTCTCTCTCTTTGGGCTCTATCCTATCGTTTACTCCCTACCCCACCCACCTCCCTATTTTCTGCAAATAAAATGACGTTTTCCTAGCCACCAGCAGTTCTGAGGTAGGGCCACCGGACCTGAGACGTTAACTCTGTTTTTTTTCCTTCACAGATGCTGCCAGACCTGCTGAGCTTTTCCAGCAACTTTGTTTTTGTTCCTGTTTTATTTCTGGATAGATGTTAGGAAGCACTTCCACATAGAGGGTAGTAGATTTTTGAAATTCTGTTCTACAAATAGCAGTGGATGATAGATCAGTTGTTAACTTTAAATCTGAGTTAGATAAATTTTTGTTAAGTGAGGTATTAAGGAATATGGGCTAAAGGCCACAAATGAGGCATGATCTCATTGAATGGTGGAACAGGCTCGAGCCTAGACCCGTTCCTGTGTTCCTTGTTTGTAGTACTTTTTATGAGCACGATCATCAATGTACATTGTTTTGTTCATCCTATATTTGTCATTTTAAATCCACTTATTAAATATCATATTTAAACCCTTAACATTTTTAACATTAACATTTCTCTTTTATTCAGAGGAGAAGGCCTTTTGAAAACAACACAGGATTTATTTCACCAGGCGGAAGTAAGTAGATTGTTTGCTATCTCTTCATATTGTATTTGAATTGATCCTGGACCTTTCTACAATTGAAACAGTTTGGAAAAGTAATCGCTTATAAGTGCCATATTTTTCTCCTGAAAATTGCATTTGAACTATGTAGTTGTAATCCAGTTAATTTCATTTTAATTGTTTTTCGGAGACAAAAGATGTAGCTTTGTGCAAATGTAAGTATTTTACATTAATATTGTGGTCTGTGATCTGGTTTGAGCAACACACATTTGTTGGTTAAGTGAGGTGAGATTGTACAGATAAAATAGCAGGAGTGGCCATTTGGTATCTTTTTAACATCATGCAACCGTTCTGCAGCAGGAATGAAGTTCTTTGTTCAGCTGCTGTACCCATGCTCCCAAATTCCAAAGTAGAAGATGTAAAATAATTAAAGATCACTGTAGTTTATGCTGAAAATAGCTATTTCATGTGACTGCTGAGGAGGAGCATGAAACTCTGGTAATCGGTGAGGGGCAGAGATGGGGAATGGTGATGGTTCGCTTGATTCCTCTTTGCGAGTATATACTATACTGCCACATATCTCTGACAGGAGCTCTGGTCACCAAGATTCAGTTTCATTGGGAAATGGGATTGGATGTCAAAGCAGCAATGAGAGCTGAAGGGATAGACTGCTATCATTTTAATTATACTCCATTTGTGAGCATAGATAATAGTGAGGGAAAATAGCCCATTCTATCCCTATGTGAAAGTGTTAGTAGGGGAATAAAATGTAATATCTCCAAATTTGCAGATGACATAAAACTGAGTGGGAGAGTAAACTGTGAGGAAGAAATAAAGATGCTTCCGTGTGGTTTGGGCAAGTTGAGTGAGTGGACAAATGCATGGCAGATGCAGTATAATGTGAATAAATGTGAGGTTATCTACTTTGCTAGCAAAATCAGGAAGGCAGATTAATATCTGAATGGCAGTAGATTGAGAGAGGAGAATGTGCAAAGACCTAGGTACACCAGTTGCTGAACGTAAGCGTGAAGGTGCAGCAGGCAGTAGAGGGTACGAATATAAGAGCAGGGATTTTTTGCTTCATTTATGCAGGGCCTCTGTAACACCACACCTGGAATATTATGTGCAGTTTTAGTCTCCTTATCTGGGGGAGTATGCCCTTGATATAGAAGGAGTGCAGTGAGAGTTTACCACACTAATCCAGTGATGTCAGGACTGTCAAACAAGGAGAGATTGAATCAGTTCAGGTCATATTTGCTGGAAGTTCAAAAGAATGAGAGGGGTTCTCATAGAAACTTACAAAACTCTAATAGGGCTCCACAGGGTGGATGGAGGAAGAATGTTTCTGATGGAGGGCAGAGCACAGAACCAGGTATCACAGTTGAGGAATATGCAGTAAACCATTTAGGACTGAGATGAGGAGAAATTTCTTCTTTTAGAGAGTAGTGAGCCTGTGGAATAGTCTATCACAGAAAGCAGTTGATGCCAAAACATTGTATGATTTTAAGAAGGAGCTGGATATATCACTTGGAGCTAAAGGGATCAAAGGACATGGGGAAAATCAGGGATAGGTTATTAAGTTGGATAATCAGCCATGATCATAATGAATGGAGGAACGTGCTTGAAGGGCCAACTCCTGCTCCTGGTTTCTGTGTTTCTATGTTAGTAGTCATGAGCATGAAACGTTCTTGTGAAATTTATATGAATCTTCAGTGGTCATTCTGCAGGAAACCTTAAGACCAAGGGATCTCATGATGCATAAGATCCTTTAATTAATAGTCTTTAAATTTTTCACAGACTGAAGTATGAATATAATGGCCCAAATGTGAAGAGCAGATTTAGTGGAAACTTCACGTCCATAAGAACATAGTTACTTTTTTCATTGTATTTTCCTCTGTTGCAGATCTTTGCTGAAGAAGGCCTGAGATTGTATACAAATCTTCATTCTTTTTCAAATCAGGTATGCCATAGAAGAACACTGGTGAACTTGCAGTTTTATAGCACATTAAACACAAGATATACACCGCTACAAAAACAAGGATATTATTTTTGCAATGGATCATGGTTTCAATATATTTATGTATCTCCTTCATATCCAATAATAATATATGATTGTAAAGATATATAAAATACACACAAACGCTGGAAATTTGAAGTAAAAGCAGACTTATGGTTCAGTAATCACCCCTCATCAAAATAAAATGCTGTCTTCATTTATTTTCATGTAAGGTTGATACCCAAAATGTCAACCAGTTCTTTGTCTGATTTACGTGCTGTTTTCAATATTATGTTTGTTATATAAAAGCTTTGTAAAACATTTTGCATTAGGCAATGTGCTTTTTTTTAAATTGGAAGAAAAAATCGGTACTGAGCTATTCATCTTTGTAAAATCCTTATGGTTCTAATCCTCAATGGAGATAGTTTGATTTGATCATGGGTCACATTCATATGCAATTGTACATGACAGACACTTGTTGGCATGTGAACATCAATTTCTATTTTAAATTCATTACAATCCATTATTTTAAAATCAATGTTAATTCTCTTTTCACTGACCTGTGTCCTGTAGGTATACAGTGGCAAAATGCTGGGCTCAAATTCTTATTTATATGCACGTCATGCTCTGCAGAAGGTTGAAGAATAACATAATTATCATGGATAGATATCCTTGATCTTCATTTTATTGGCTATGTAACTAATGTGTTTATTAGCTGTAAAATCTAATCTGAAGAAACTAGGTTTATTTAACGTGACAATGATGTGTGTGCACAAATAACCAGCAGGCTGTTTTAAAAGTCTTAAACATTTAATTTAGCCTTCAATATTAGAAGTTAATTTCAAATGATGAATTAACACAGTTTTTAATCTGTTTCCATGCAACGTGTTCTGTTAGTGACCTAAAACTGAATTAAGTGTCTTTTCTGTCCTCAGTTGGAAGATGACGAGAAAGCAATTCTGACGATGGAGACAGAGAAATTTCCTTCCTTATGTCAACAGCTACAGATGTCCAGCAAAACTCCTGTTCATGGCAAAGCTGCCATTTTCGCTAAGGTCAGTGTTTTCATTATATGGAATGATGGTTAGAAGGTGGGTTAAAAATTGCAATTTCATATTGGACATCCAAACCTAATAAATATCACCAATCTGTCATTTACCTGATAAGCTGCCTGTACGTTACTGCAGCTATGAGTGACCTGTTATTCGACTTCAGTGTAAGGCAACATTCTAACCTGTAGAGTGGAGTTGTTCAATGGGATTTTAATGCTTGCCAAACTTGTGGTGATCAGGTCATGATATTCCTCAAATGATACAAAATATATGCAATACTTTATTGAAAAAATGTGTAACCTTTAAAAATAGTTCTGGGATTTATTTAAATTATTTAACCTACTTTTCTAACCAATGTGTTCAGAGATGTTCCTCTCTGGACCAGATGGGACTTGAACCCAGGCCTCCCAGCCAAGGGGTAGAGACACTTCCAACTGCACCATAAACCTTTAGCAATGAAGACCAATACATTGACAGCCATAGCCAGGACAATAGCTTCTAAAGGGTTTTGGAACACGTGTCTTCACAAAGCAAGCCTGAAAAATGCAATCTCAAAGGGTGGTGACAACATTTTAACCGATAGAACTAGAATTAACTTTCTTGACACACGTACTCAGATGAGTACAGTGAAAGGTTTACATGTCACCACTTCCGGCATCATCTTAGGTACAAAGGTATACAATTGTAAGTACAGATTCTTAGGGAATAAAAAGAGAAATAAAAAGAAGTCCAGCATTACAGATCATAGGAATAAATTAGAAAATAGATAAGAAGCCTTTCAACCCAGTTCTCACCAGCACCTAGCTTGAGTCCGCACCAGACCCTGACTCCCGACCAGGCTGGGCTTCACCTTGAGGCTCTCTAGGCTGGGCGACTGTTCTACAACCATCTCGAGGCCGGAGATCCATGCTGAGGCCACGCTGGGCTGAGAGATCGCCATGCTGGGCCGCCCAGAGATCGCTACTCCAGGCCGCTGAGAGACCACCATGCTGGGCCGCCCAGAGATCGCCACTCCAGGCTGCTGAGAGACCGCCATGCTGGGCCGCCCAGAGATCGCCACTCCAGGCCGCTGAGAGACCGCCATGCTGGGCCGCCCAGAGATCGCCACTCCAGGCCGCTGAGAGACCGCCAAGCCAGGCCGAGCGATCACCACACCGGACCCACAAGACATTGCAATACCAGGCCGAGAGGCCACCATGCTTTGCCGAGAGATTGCCACACCAGACAGTGGATAGCGTGTCCCAGTTTGTTTCAAATAAAATAGAGGCCATTTACACTTCAAGAAATTTATGAGTATCAATGGCCAGAATCTTATAAGTGTCAGAGCAACTTGAACTCTGGCAAGATGTTGGGCAGAATGGGATAAGAAATCTGCTGTGGTTCAGAAATCCACTGTGGTCCAATTCAACATCAGAAGCATCTTATCCCATCTTTTCTGCTTCTCACAAGCAGCGTGGCAATCTTGTTGCTAGGCAGCAGTGAATTTCCCAATTAAAGGGGATTATTGCTTGTTAAATATGTTGTTAGTGGCACAACTCCTCTCATTAATATTTAGCTTCCTTTCTTACCAAATGCAGCAAACAACAGATCCATGGCCAGTTCACTATACAGAAGGTCTTTGGATTGATGGTTGCCACAAACCCAATGAACGTCACTGGCTTATATTGATGGAATTACTTTTTTAGGATCTTTGAGCCATTTTTCTTGTGCTGCCAAGAAATGTCTGAGGCAACAAGGAACGTTCAGCCTTTTCTCCTTCACTATTGGAAATGAAAGCTTGGTAGACTTGTGGTGTTCCCAGTTAGGTTGTCATTGCTAAACGCTGTCAGCTTGGACATAACAGCTACAGTTTTTGCGATGCAGTGCATGCTGATATCAGCATCAAGTGACAGATTATTGATGATTGTAGAACCTGGAATGTGACCTGTGAATATCCTCCAGTGTTAAATTATTAATATTGATAGACAGCAATATGGTATATCCCAGATCATGACTTTTGCTTTCATAATGCGGGTAGTTAAGCCAAACTCTTTACAGGGCACTGTCCATTGGTCCCTGAAGGTGTTCCTCACGATAGAATGCTCGAGTGGTGTCATCAGTGATGCAGTGAACAAATCATAGATTAAGGTTAAGTGGTGACTGATCACCTGCATTTAATGACCTACCCCCTGGGATGTTAAAAGAAATAGCAATCTAAAAGAGAAAATTATAGTTTTTCATCTTCTGGAACAGTTCCGAAAGATTCGAAGGTGGCAAACATAGCTGAAACATTTAAGAAAAAAAGAGAAAACAGCATTTTAAAAAATGTTTTGAAGAATGGGAGGTGATCTAATTGAAACAAATGCAGTTTTCAAGGAATTTTTTACAGAATAGATGCTGAGGAAATATCTCCTATTTGGGGAATCTAGAAAATGGATTCACATTTTCAGAATAAGGAGTTGATTACTGAACACCGAGAGGAATCAAGAACTTTCTTCACTCAAAGGATTTTGAATCATTGGAAATCTCTATCTCAGAGAGCAGTGGATATGCAGTCATTGAGTATTTTCAAGAGAAGTTGCTAGAGTTATAGGTACTAAGGAAATTAACGGATATGGTATTAGTACAGGGAAGTGGCGTTGAGATAGATAGAAGCTCCGACTTATTGAATGGCAGAATAAGCAAACAGCCAAATGCCTAATCTGGATCCTGTTTCTTATGCTGCTACCTGTGAAATATTTAAAGCAAATTGGGTTGCTTGAGGATAAATGATTCACAGAAGAAAAGTACTGATTTCAGTCAATATCCAATCCCATTTGGTGAACGTGCATTGGAAAGAAATCTTTGTAGAGGAATTTCTTATGTGTGTGTCAATAGTAGCTTTAATAAAATTTCATTAAGTATTCATATTATTCTTTCACATTATTCTATATTTTCAGGTTGACACTGCCATTCAGGAAACTAAGAATATAATGACCGTGTTGATGAAGGTTCTCTCTCTTTGTTACAAACTGTTAAAAAAGGTAAGACAATGAACTGAAATTGCACATAAAAGTAGCTGATTGGCCCATTTATCGATAATGAAGCATTTCAGGATAGAAAGGTTGAACCTTCTTTGCACAAAACAGCATTGCTAAAAATGTAGAAACTGCAAGTCTGAAATAAAAACTGAAAATGTTGGAAACTGACTTCTGATGACAGGTCATTGGCCTGAAATATTAACTCTCCACAGATGCTGCTTGACTTGCTGAGTCCTTCCAAGAGTTTCTGTTTTTAGTTTATAATTGGGGATTATGTTCAGAATAGGAATTCTATTTAAAACTAATTTAGTTCATTGTCAGAAGGCTGTGGGGTTCAAGCTTCAATAGTGAATTGAGCACATAATCGTGACTCGAGAATGTATTTCTTCAGTGCAGTCCTGAGAGATTGTCAGAAGTGCCGTATCTTTCACATTACCTTCAACCAAAGCCCAGGTCATCTGTTCACTGTCAAAACAGATACATTGGTCATTCATCTTATTGCTATGTATGATGCGTTTTTTAAAAAGGCTGTTATTAATTATCCATGTATAGTATTAGCTGGCCATTAATGACATTGCTGTTTGTGGAATTTGGTGTTCACAAATTTGTGATTTAGATGGGAATTGACAGAGTCGATGCTGAGAAAATATTTCTCCAGTGGGAGAGACAAGAAAGAAAAGTTCCTGCTTTCAAAAATAAGGGATCGCCCACTTAAGGCATTTTTTTCTCAGATAGTGGATGGTCTGTGGAATTCTCTTCACCATATTGTCCCACAGGTATGAGGCACTTGCTCCCTGCGTGGATGAGGAACAGGGCTGCAGGAAAGATGAATCAACTGGCAAAGGCACCATGGTCCAGGAGGCCATTCAAGAGGGGGGGGCAAAAAGACAGATTGTAGTTGTAGGGGATTCCATCATCAGGGGGATAGACAGTATCCTTTGCGAACAGGATAGAGAATCTCGCATGGTGTGTTGCCTGCCTGGTGCCAGGGTGCGAGACATCTCTGACCGGCTTGAGAGGATACTAGAGAGGGAGGGGGAGGATCCAGTTGTTGTGGTCCACATAGGTACCAACAACGTAGGCAGGACTAGGAAAAAAGACCTGTTTCGGGATTATGAAAAGCTAGGAACAAAATTAAAAAACAGGTCTTCAAGGGTCATAATCTCTGGATTGCTGCCCGAGCCATGTGCAAATTGGCATAGGGAGGCGAGGATCAGGGAAGTAAACACGTGGCTAAAAGAGTGGTGTGGGAAAGAGGGTTTCCTTTTCATGGGGCACTGGCATCAGTTCTGGGACAGGAGGGATCTGTACCTCTGGGATGGACTTCACCTGAACAGGGCCAGGTCCAGTGTTCTGGCAAAAAGGGTAAATAGGGTTGTTAATAGGACTTTAAACTAGTAAGTAGGGGGGAAGGGAGAAGTGAGCGCAGAGGGAGAATAACAATTAATGTAAGGCAAAGCAGCAGGTTAGCAGGTGTCGAGGAAGCTTCAACTCCATTGAAAATTAGGAAAAAAGTTAAAGGGAAGGAGAACTCAAGAGCTGTTAGTAATGGAG